ACTCTTTCATTGTAATCATATGAAGAATCTGTTATAATCTAAATCTCATTGGAACGCAAGATAATTTAGAAAAAACATACATTTAGAAATAATGAAAATTACTGAAATTTAGAAATATTATTACTTACCTTAACCTTGCTTGCTTTTCTCACTGACTCTCTATCTCCAGTATTGTAAGATTCAAATGTTCTTCAATCTTAATTGTTGTTATAAATTAATATTTATTAAATATTAATTCTAAATTAAATAAAACAAATTTTAATCTTAATTAAAATATACTTCATCTTCAAAGTGATTTACTCAATCTCGAAAGCGAATCTCCCTTTCTTCAATTAAACTTACTATCAACACTTAATGAATAACTTATATATATATATAATTTCATGGATTATAATGAATAAACCCTTACCTTAAAATGCTTAGTTTGCTTCCCTGCACACACAGCTCCACCTTCCCTAATAATTGGCTCGCTTTGGACACTTTTCTTCAGCCTATACTCTAGACACTAAATTATAAATAAATACTTAATACATTCAAATTTTCAATTTTGCTAAATTTATTACTTTCCCTTATCCTACAAACGCTCGCACATGATAATCTAAGGAGTGTGCTGCCTCTTAATTTTCTCTGGAAACTCACTAGTTGCTCGTTTCTTTCTACAGCAAGCGGCGCTTCCCTGCTTGTTTCTGGCAAGCCCGTGGGCGCGTCTCTTCCACGCACAACACTCCTATGCACAGGACGTTCTTGACACGGACTCCCCGCTTGGTGTCACATTTATGAGCTGAGAAACACAAACTCCTCTCAGAAGCCCCTAAATCCCGCGCAAGGCTTCAACTTGGTTGCGCATGCATAGTTTGACACTTCCTTCTTTCTTCTCACCTTGCCTTTGACTCTCTTCCTTCATACCGTTCTTCTCTTCAGTTTTAAAACCCTCGCTCCCCTTCCTCCTCACCCTTTGCTCTCTTTGTTTTTCTTAATCATTGGGTTTGATTTGAATGAGTCGTTCGTCTCATAAGAAGAATTAACTTTTGAGACGGATAGTTCCCTTCAAAGTGAACCTGAATAAATTTTATTTATTTATTTATTTTATTATTCTTATTATTTCATTTCATTTTATTTTTTAAACACAGTTATTACATCCAAGACATTTTGTATGTGAAATTTTGAATTTTATCTTTATAGCTCTTTTTGAATATTCTTAGATGTCTTTGCAGAGTATAAGTTGAACATTAGCGTGCAGACAAGCTTTGACTTTATAGCTCTTTCTTTAAACCCAATTACCGACTCAAAATTTTTGTTCCTGATGACATGTTGATAAAGAGTAGGTTTCAAAGGCTGTTAATATTTTGACAATATGATGATCAAGTTGTTGCTTCTTAGGATGAGGGTGGTGCGATTAGGGAGTTAATAGATGTTTGAAGGCATGGAATTGGAGAGTAAGATATTGAGATTGAATTGTTTGAGGCTGCGGAAGGCAGCTAAGTTGAGATGCCGAGGCTATCATGTTGGTGACGGCAAAGGCAGCTAAGTTGAAGTGTCAAGGCTGGAATTGAGGTTCAAGGCTGTCACTTTGGTGATGGGGAATAGGACTTGATGGGAGACCTAGAAAGGGTAAGAGATTGAAAGGCTCGACTTCCCTTGCAGGAACATCTTGACCTCTATCTCTACATTGTTGTTGGAGTTTAGATGAAGACGAAGAGAAGGGAAAAGTGATGCATTGTCTTCATAGAGGGGAGGGGAGCGGCGGTGAAGAGAAGTTTCAATGTGGTTGACAAGAACTTTAGATTGTCATCTCTATCTCGTTAAAGAACATATCAAACATATTTTTGTTACAAGTTAAAGAATAAAGAAAATAAACTGTAAAAAATTAAATTTAATATTAATAATAATAATAAAATCTAAAAATTATCCCAGATAGCCTCAACCGTGTGTGATGTAAAGGAGAGATCATGCGAACGTGCAATATATGAGATAAAGATGGTAGGAAGAACCATGAAAATATGTACTTTGGTGCCCTTCATAATGAAGAATAAAAGGAAGCAGCAGTAATAGAACTTGGGTTAAAAAATCGGCATGAGCAAAAATTTAAAGGAAGAAATGTGGGTGAAAGGGATTGCTTTACGTTGCTTTGTTAAGAAGAGAGAAATAAGGATTTTCAATTAAATAAAATTCTGTTCATGCTTATTTTAATATTACTCTATATGGTGCCACAATATTGGTGATAAAAAAACAAAAGAGAAGGGACTTATGCATGAGGCACTTGGGCTATTGCTTTTTTGCTTCCCACGTGGTGTTAAGTGCGTTCCCCTTAGGAAGTGTCCTTTTTTGATTTGGAAGATTTACATACATACCACTTCCTATGTATTTACATTTCTAACACCTAAACTTCAATATTTACATACATACCACCTTAACTATACATGAAATGGTGTCTTTCACCTTTTATAAGCTAAAATGGTGTATTTTTAATATGATATGAAAGGTTTGGGTGGTATAAATGTAAAATTTAGCTGTTAGATATGTACATGCATAGGAATTTGGTGGTATAATTGTAAATGCAGTTTTTTTTTTGTTGTGATGGTATAAATTTTTTCACTTTGTTGGCTTCTTTCTTCAAAGAACGTCCATTAAATTTTAGCTTCTCATTAATAATAATTGCTGCATTGCTATTTATAACCATTATAGGTAACACCTCGCCTACAAGAGTTAACGGCTTACAAAACGCAGCAGGATTCCAAAGGTTCTTTGTCTACTCAAAAAAATGTCTCAGTGGCCGCAGTTGCATCACAGAAACGGAAAGCAAATAAAACTTTTGGTGATAAGCAGACTCCAGCTAAGAAAAAAAAAGATGTTGCACAAGAACGATCTGAGGCCTCTCTAGCTGTTCCGACCAGTACTTCTGTTCCTAATCAGCAAGACGAAACTTTGCGAGGCACTGGCGAACATCAACATAATGTAAAAGATGTTAGAGATTCAAAGTTGAACAAGACTAAGCTATTTTACACTGATAATTGTACTGCATTCGTATCAAATCTTAGTCTCGAGGCAAGTTCTCCATAATAATCAGCTGAATATTTTTTTTCTTGTGCGTAAATTTGTATTCAGGGAAATTTACATACTTAACTGACAATTCTTATTTATTTACATTTGTCACACCTAAAATTTTTTATTTACATACAAAACACTTTGGCTCTTTAAATTTATGCATGAAAATGTGTATTTCACTTTTAAAAAGCGGTAATAGTGCTATTTTTTATTTGATATTAAAGATTTGTGTGCTATGTGTGTGAATATAAAAATTTAGGTGTGAGATATGTAAATATAAAGAAACTGTGTGCTATATGTAAATGCTACTTGTATTTATGTTGAACCAGCAGTAGTGGTTGATTTCCTTCGCTATAACCTGGAAGTATTGGTCTGCATTAGAAAATGTCTGTTTGCACTGCAGAATACATCAATTCCTTCGTGAATACTGTATTAGCAAAAGTTTTATGTATTGGGTACAACTCTGCTTGAATTTTGCATCTCAGCAGCTGTGTTCCTTACAGGTAACAGAGAAACATTTGCATGGATTCTTCATGGATTCTGGAGGAGTGGCTGCCATACGATTGCTTCGGGACAAATTCAATGGAAGATCAAGGGTTTGTTCCTTGTTTCTCTGACCCCTCTCATCACCCTGGTTAAAAACATGACGTCATTGGAAGCTGAGGCATTTCATCATTTTTATTTAGAAAGATTTACAGGCATACCACTCAATTTACAATAGTGGGACTTTTGATGTGATATCCAAGATTTGAGTGGTATGAATGTAAAAAAGTAAATTTTAGGTATTATTTATTTAAATACTTGAGAATTGGGTGATATGTATGTAAAAGCCCCTTTTATTTAATACAGTTGGTAAAAGAACAAAAGGTGCTACATCTTAACATAAGGAACTTGGATCATCTACTCATCTTGATCCATCTAAATTCAATTATCATCATCATCGCTCTTATACCCCTTCATTTTCCTCATCATCCTTTAACATTATTGTTGATTATCATGCTAGAAATTTGTAGGAATGAATTTTATCTTTCAAGTCAAAATGCCAGTAGGACTGCGTATGTTCGGCTATCACTCTTATAAATTCAATTATAAGGAATCTGGATCATCTACTCATCTTGATCCATCTAAATTCAATTATCATCATCATCACTCTTATACCCCTTCATTTTCCTCATCATCCTTTAACATTATTGTTGATTATCATGCTAGAAATTTGTAGGAATGAATTTTAGCTTTCAAGTCAAAATGTCAGTAGGACAGCGTATGTTCAGCTATCACTCTTATAAATTCAATTATAAGGAATTTGGATCATCTACTCATCTTGATCCATCTAAATTCAATTATCATCGTCATCACTCTTATACCCCTTCATTTTCCTCATCATCCTTTAACATTATTGTTGATTATCATGCTAGAAATTTGTAGGAATGAATTTTATCTTTCAAGTCAAAATGTCAGCTAGGGTCAGTAGGACTGGATATGTTCAGCTATCTGTGAACAAAATCTTACAGCTAGCTGAATCATATCTATATGACATTTAACAAACCTAAAAGTATGTTCTTTCTTGTTAACTTCTAGGGTTTGTTCATGGTAAGTGAAAATTCACTTAACCCATCAATTGTTTTCTACAGGGATTGGCCTATGTAGATTTTGTAGATGAGGAGCATCTTGCAGCTGCTATTGCAAAGAATAAACACAAGTTGCTTGGCAAGAGATTAAGCATCGCTCGCTCAGATCCCAAGCAAGGCCGAAATAAATCCAGCACAAGTTCTCATAGTCGCGGTATGCTTATAAATCTTTCAATGTTTTACTAAAACAAATGAACCAAATTGCTCTATCTATTGCACTCGATAAGTCAAATTGGGTTTGGTTATCATTAATTTAGATTTTCTTGTGTTCGAGAATATTGAATAACCTAAACTTCTTAGTTAACCTAACTGCAAAATAGTTGTTGATTAAATTAGAAGCCGAATACTTCAATTAAGCTGAACCATATTAGCTAGTTGAAAGTTCCAATGTCAGGTACTAGTTGTAAAGTAAATTAAGTACTAAAATGTATAAGTTTTCCAAAGGAGGAAGTTCAAATCCAAAACAATCCATACATTCTTCTTTGCTAAGTATCTTTTAGGAAGATTTACATGCATGTCACTTAATTCATGTGTGTTAACATGTCACCTAAACCTTAATTTTCACATATATACCATATGCATGAAAGATATATTTCACTTTTTAAAAGTTAAAATGGTGGTATTTTTGATCTGATATGAGAGATTTGGGCGGTGTAAATGTAAAAAGTAGAGTTTAGGTTTTAGATATGTAAATACATAAGACCTTAGTGGTATTTATATAAATAAATGCTTAATTGCCTAAAAGTTCTTCCTTACTGTCCATCTAACTACATCTTTCTCTTATTCTTTTGCAGCTAGAGGAGGAGACTTAAAAAAAGACCATAAGGGCGTAGCTGAGGGTTCCGGAGCCCCTCCAAGAGAAGATAGTCGGAACACCGCGAAACCTTCGAGGAATATTACATTTGCTGCACCAAGAGCGGGTGCAATGACGTTAGGGTGGCCGAAAAGAGGAGGAGTTACAGACTGATGAAGCAACAGAGAAGCCCAAATCAAATAATGAGTTCAGAGAAATGTTTCTGAAGAAATGAGGATTCATGCCATTTACTTCCTCTGGTTTGGATTCAATTTAAGTTACCGTTACCTTTCTGTGCTTTATTTTCTCCAATCTATGTGTGTTTGTATGGCACATAATGCATATATAAGGTAGTGCAGCTTACATGCGAGTTTTCTTACCAGCTACTGTAGAAGTTTGCTGTGCTGAATTGTCTTTTGGCCTGACGTTCAGTTTTCAAAAGGTAATGGTACATTTTCTTTTTTCTAAATATCAGAATTTACAATCTGAAAATTTTGAATGAAAATATCATATAGCTGCATTTTTTTTTATTAGGGGGAAACAAGCACAAAAAGGTGAAATTATTTACTGATAAAAATGTAATTTGTCTTTTTAGTTATTATTATTATTATTGTTGTTAATTAGTTTCTGCTTTAGCCTTTTTCTGCAAGGTAACAAGGGAAATTATTTACTTATAAAAGTGTAGTTTGACTGTTTAGTTATTAGTATTTTACTATTGTTATTGTTGTTGCTTTAGGGTTTTCTTTAAGGAGACAAGATGCTGCCACTTCATGTTTTAGGAAGAGTAATGCTTGATACACCACAGCACAAAAAAGGGGGTGGTACTTGTATACAAACCATATAATTCTTATGTATTTGCATATCTAAAACTTATTGGTATTTACATGCATACAAGTCAAATCTTTAATATCAAATAAAAAATATTACTATCACTATCCTTTTAGAAATATAATTTGCATTTTTATGTACATGTTTATGATACCGAAGCATTATTAAATATAAATATCAAACTTTGGTGTTGATATGTAAATATGTCATAAATTTGCTATATATGTTAGATTCAAATGCCATTGACCGGATTGAGGTGCTTCGAGCAAGGCACATGTCATCAATTGAAATGAATGAAGACATCTCAAGGAAAGGACTTGGCTAACCCAACCAAAGGCCAATCGATGTAGATGATGGACGAATCAAAGCTCGGGCATCAATTGGGCGACCGACCCAAGGGGTGAACGAACTAAAAAGTAGGATGACATAAGAGTAGTTGAATGAGAAAATTTGACCAAGAAATTGGTGGAGTTGGGAATTGGTCGATCCAGGTCTCGCTCGAGAAGGAATCAACCAGCAGAAGGGTGAAACGTCGGGCAATTGTCAACCGCATGATAAGAAACTTATCGCTAAGAAGTTAGCCAATTAGAAATCAATAAGGTTGTATTTGTCATTTCACAATATATATTGATCTCTACATAAACAAGGTGAATGTTAAATGAAATGGGGATTACTGGAATTGTTGACAAAATACCTAATTTCTTACACCTCCCTCTCTCTCTACATACACACACACAACACACACCCTTTTATGCTCTATTCTTTGGGTATGATGCTTGGACAAGTTTTGGTTTCACTACCTAAAAGATGTGGTGAATGTGGAATCATGTCACAAATAAGAAGATAAACTCAAGGATAAAAACTCCCAACTAGAAATTGTAAACACCATGAACTTCATTTGGCAATTTGTGATATAACAAATTAATGGGCTTAAAGAACAAATGATAGAAGCCATCGAGGGCACATTAACTCAAGGAAGGGGCCCTCCACTGCAACTAGAGCTCGTTTTGAAGAATGTTGTTCGTTCTCAAACGAATGAAAACCAGAAAAATCTCAACCACAAGATGTAGGTTTCAATAATTCGAACAACATACAAATCATCACAACAGCAAGATGCCGCCTCTAACTCATGAATTTCATCAACCGACTCCTTTAAGGGTTTCTATGGCATAAGTAGTAGAAGTCATTCAAAATAAGGAGTATTTCAAGAAGACTCCGCCAATGAAGGTTGGCAGCTACCTTCGGGACCTAAAGAGGTATTGCTCATACTATCGAGATCACAAAAACGACACGGAGCAATGCTGACACCTCTGTAATCTGATGGAGGAATTGATTAAGGCTGAAAAACTAAAAGAATTCATAGCACATGGAACAACCGCCCATCAACAATGAAAGGTCCCAACAGAAAGAGTTTTTGACGAACCCACTTGAACTCAAGTAATCCACATAACATGTGTTGTACCTACCATCTTCAGGGGAGATATAAGCAAGTCCACCCATTGAGTCATTTTAAAGAGGCTTAGCTCAGGAGAAGTATGCTCAGCGGCCTTGTCCCCGCGACTCACCTCACAATACCAGTTGATTTGCTTCAAGTCCTACCCACAGTCTTGCCCACATGACACACCTCACAATACCTGTCGATTTGCTTTATAGACGAAGACCTACCTACCAAGGATAACCATAACAATGAAGTTATCGCCGTGCCCTCATCTCCAATTTTAAAATTGGAAGCTTATTCATCGAAACTAGGAGCTCGGTGAATATTATCTTTGAATTAGTTTTTGATACAATGAGTATGTGTTTTGACTGTCTCTCAGTCACTTGTGCCATACATTATGAATTCTTGGAAGAAAAAAAAGTACTTGGAATCATCACTTTATCAGTCTCCTAGGGGGAGAACGACAAGCAGTTCAGGACTGCAATAGACTTCATCATCATCGATTCACCAACAACTTACAATGTCATATTATGCCATCCTCTCTACTCCTTCTGGGTAGTGGTATCCACGTACCACGTGGTTGTAAAATCCTTGGGTAATGGATAAGTGATCACTGTATGTGGTGACTTGAAGCAATCTAGCACATGTTTTCTGCGTGTATTAAGAATCACTTGAGATTGACACCCAACAAGGAAATAGCCTTGAAACTTGTGAGACTATAGAAGTACTCGTTATGGCAAATGAAATAGGTATATCTTTTAGGCTAAATAAAGCTTTTGTGCAAGATATAGGGAGAAGTTATCGAGTTGCTTTGAATACATCTCAAAGTTTTCGCCTTGTCGGTCGTAGAAATGCCAAGAGTACCATTTAACGTCACATTCAATTGATTCAATTTCAACCCAACGGCCTGGCTAGCAAAGCAAAAAATGATGACAATAGTAGCCACACTAGTTAGACCGATACACAAAAAGGTGCAGAAGCTGTTAGAGTCAGTTTAAGTATGAGAGGTACAATACCCAACTACGTCGCCAACGTAGTCATGGTCCAGAAAGTAAATGATAAGTAGAACATGAACATGATTTGCTCGAATGATAGCTACCAACTGTCGAGAATCAATGGGCTTATGGATTCATCAGTTGGACATTTTGTCATTAATTTCCTCGATGCCTTCTCCAGTTACCGCCAAATAAAAATGCATTCGAACAATGCTGAGAAGACTGCTTTCAATATGAGGAATAGTCTATTTTGTTAGTGTAATGTTTTTTTGGTGTAAGAACGCAACACAACCTACCAATGCATGATGGATGTAATATTATATAACTATATATATATATATATATAT